GCTTGAGACTGAGCATAGGCAGGCTGGAGTTGACAGTGAAGAAGGAGGAGGAGGAGGGGGAGGAGATCTTTGCAGGAACAGAAGGAAAGGGGGGCAGGAGCCATGATGACTAAATTGTAAGTATCTTTCGGGCCTTGCTGAGGTGCTAGACTTCATCTCCTGGCCCACGGAGAGCCAGGGGAGGTTGTCAAGGACTGCATGGTCACAGCTGTGTGAGGAGAGGCCAAGAGGGGCCACGGCTATGGCTGCCATCGGGTTCTGCAGGGTCAGTGAGAGAGGAATTGGGTGAGAGAGATGAAGAGTGCAAAGGGAGAGACATGATCCACAGCATGCACACACCCAGGTGTGCCCCTCACAGGTGTACATCATCTGGGCACACCACACGAAGGCGCCCGTTGTCTCAGTCTGCTCGGGCTGCTGTAACAAAACGCCTGCACTGGGTGGCTTCCAAACAGTAGATGTTCATTGCTCAAAGTTCTGGAGGCTGGAAGTTCACCATCAGGCTCTTGGCAGAGTTGGTGAGGACATGAGGCTCACAGTACCTTCTGTGTGCTGTCACGTGGGGAGAAGGGACAGGTCTCTGAGGTCCCTCTCATAAGGACACAAGTCTCTTCACAAGGCTGTGGCTCTGTGACTTAATCACCCCCCCAAGGCCCCGCCTCCTCAGCTGCACATTGAGGTTAAGCTTCTGCGTGAATTTTGGGCACACAAACTTGGAGACTGTGGCAGACACAGGCACACACACATGGTAGTGCCTTTCCCAGTGGTACAGGGGCAGTAGGGTCTACAGTAGGTGGGCAGCACTCATACCTAGGGTGACCTCATCGTCGACACACAGAGGTGGCAGTCTTTGTGTCGCCTTATATGGGGCGAGTGTGGATATTTCATGTAGGATAGGATTGATCGCAAGAGATTTGAAAGAACAGCTCTGTTTGGGGTGAGGGATGTGACCCCACTGGAGCTCCTGGGAGGGCAGGTGCAGGCTCCCCCTTCCAGTCCAGGCACCTTGGCTTTGGTGGTTAGGGTTATGCAAGCCAGCCCTTCTCAGGTAGTGAATGCCTGCCAAGGTGCATCCTCTCTGGAGAGGAGCTGCTGGTGGCATCTATGGCGCCCAGGATAAATCCATTGCCAGATTGGGGCTCAGCTTCCTGGGTGAGAATCGTTAGGTGAAGCCTGTGACCTCCTCCTTCTCAGTTTCTCACACTGGCACAGCTGTTATAACCCAGAGTTGTCCATAATTCTTTGGTTTTTAAAACCAACCTGAGGGGCAGAGGACCAGTGTGGCAGTGTGGGGACGGGCTGCCTGGTGCGCTGGCCCTTGGCCTGGCGTGAGCCCTGCTGGCACGGCAGTGACTCCTGGAGACAGTGCCACCAGTGTGGCGAGCACCTGTGCGGGTGACGGTGTCCTGCAGCCAAGGCCCTTCTGCTGGAGCAGGCCCACCTCTGGAGAGATGGGGGCCTGGGGCCCACGGCACTGGCAGGCTGTGGGTCACCCTGTTTTTCTCCCAACCCAGCTCATCAGGAGTGGGAGCTGCAGGAGACCTGCTACATAATCTGCACCCAAGCTGCTGATTCACTGTCTCCCTCCCACCCTGGCGCAAAGCCTCTGTGCTCCTCCCCCGCCTCCCTCCTCCTCCTCCCTGGGTCACAGCTGCAGGGCTGGCCACAGGCAGCAGAAGTGGAGCGGTTGGGGGGCCGCTCTCTCTCTCGCTCTCTCTCTCTCTCTCTCTCTCTCTCTTTCTCTCTCTTTCTCTCTCTCTCTCTCTGAGACACCTGCACTTGACAGGACACTTATTTTTACATACTGTCGGCTGGAAATAAGCAACTTTATTTAAAGAGAATGTGGATTCAGAGTGCTAAATAAAGCACCCAGTAACTTGGTAGGGCTGTTTTGGGAGTGATTCTCCTGCCGGCTTTGGAAGGAGGCTGTAGGGCCCATGAAGGGGAGCTGAGGATGCAATGGGAAGAGAGGCCAGGTGGGACCCCTGTGACCAGAGCTCCTGCCAGGGTCACAGAGCTCTGGGGACAGTGCATGGGGTCAGTCTGGTGGACACTGCCTAGGCTGGGCAGGGTCCTTGGCCCTGGAGGAGAGCAGCCCCATGGCATCACCAGGGACATGCACTGTGCTGAGCTGTGGTCGAAGGTCCTTTGCCCAGGACAGTGGCTCTTGTCTTGAAAGAGCTTTCAGTCCCATATTTGAGGAGTCTTCATGTCTGTCTTTAGTTTGTGTATATGGGTATTTTATTGATGCTTTCATAATTCTAATTATTTCCACCTGGTGACAGGTGCAGGCTGTCAGAGGAAGGAGTCTGTCTCCCATTCCCCCAGCGGTGGCAGTCGCTGTTGCTGCCCTGTTCTCCTTTTGCTGCATGTTCAGGTATTGTTGCCATATCATACATGAGCTTAATGCTGCCATTGGAGGATGTGTAGGTGGATCCCGTGACACCTGGTGGCTGGGTGTGTCCTACGCCTGTGTGCCACCCCTCCACAGCTGGCTTCAGGACATTCCAGGGGTCATGCTGGCCCTTGGGAGCCACTGGAAGCATCACTGTCTCCTGTCAACACTTTTTTTTTTTTTTTTTTGGTACGGGGGATCGAACTAGGGTCCTTGCGCTTGTGCAGCAGGCAGCGAAACCACTGAGCTAAATCCCCGGCCCTCCTGTCAACACTTTTAAAACAAGAACTATCTCCCTCTTGGTTGTTAAAATGTCCATGTATTGTAGGGAATTGGCTGTACCTATAGGTACAAAGGAGGAGGTCATAGTCCTTGTTACCTTGCTGGTAGAAGTATCAGAAATTTAGCCTGTTTCCTTCCAGTCTCCTTTATATGTACTGTATAGGTGTGTATATGTATTTCTTCCTTTTAGAAGCAGAGGCTGTAACACATGTGAAAATTGTATATCTTGTATTCAAGGTTTCTTTTCTTTTCTTTTTTATTTTGTGATACTGGGGAACGAACTTGGGACCTTGCGCTTGTGAGGCAGACAGCGGAACCACTGAGCTAAATCCGCAGCCCTGCTATATTTAAGTTTTATGGAATGTTGAAAGCTTTCTCCACACCACTATGTACTCTTTGAAAATACTTTTACCAGTTGCATACAGGTGTTCTTTCCTTTACTGTTGTCACCCTGCCCTGCTTTGTTGTGTCATCAAGGCATGTGTCCTCTGTGGCTCTCGGTCCCCATGTGTCATCTCCATGCTTCACAATGTTACCCTTGTGGACAGTTTCTGGCTGGCATCCATTCTGATTGGCCAGTGCCTGGTCCTGCCAGTGTCCAGTGCTGAATTTTGAATCTCACCTCTGATTGAGTTTAATTTCCGAGGCCACTGGGTTTGACTGTGCTGCTGTAACAGAGTGCCACAAAATGGTGGCTTAAACAAGAGGTGTCAATTGTGTCATCACTCTGAAGTGAAACCTGAGATCAGGTGCTGGCCGGCCCTCCCTCCTCCCCAAAAGCTCCAGGGAAGGGTCCTCCCTGCCTCTTCCAGCTTTGGGTGGCCAGCGGTCCTTGGTGTTCTTGGCCTATAGCTGCATCGCTCAAGTCCCGGCCATGGTTTTCATGTGGCCTTCTTCAAAGCTCCCTCTCTAAGGCCACTATCCATAGTGGGTTAGGGCGCACCCTAATGACCTCATTGTTACTGGATCACCTTTGTAAAGACCTTATTTCCAAGTAAGGTCACATTTTGATGTCCCAGGGGTTAAGACACCAACATATCATTTGGAAGGTCACAATTCAGCCCTTAAGAGCCACCAGTTACCCAGCCAGAGAACTTGTACTGTGCTGGAGGCCCAGCCACTCACAGTAGGTAAATTCACTTTCTTGTCTCAAAACTTTCCCAGTCTTGCCTAAGGCCTATGTTGCCACAGATTTAGACACATGAAGAGCACTTTGTGCTCTTCCGAGCAAGTGCACATGAAGTGCACATGTCGTTTGCAAGGCCCCCTCCTTGCCGGGTCGTGTCTCCTGGTCTCTGGGCAGGCTGGAGAAGGTGGCTGGGCAGAACCCACTGCAGAATGTTCCATGTTTGTGGCTGCCTTCTCCATGATGAGGCTTTTATCTGTGATTAGATCCTCACTTCACTTAGTGCACTTGAGGCTATACTCAATTTTAAGAAGCATTTATATGAGGGCTGGGGATTTAGATCAGTGGTGCCACTGCCTGCATTGCAAGCACAAGGTCCTCAGTTCCATCCCTGATACCAAAAAAAAAGGGGTTTATATGGTTAAGTTTTATGCTAACTATTGTACTTTCTTTTCAGCATCATTGTCATGGCTAGGCCTGTCTGTGTGCCGCCTCTCTGATGGACATATCCAATAGAATTCGGTTGACCAGGCTCTTGGGCCCTCCCACTCATTAAACGTATCATTGTTTTACTGATGATGCTTGTGATTTTAATGCAGGACCTTTGGCTTTGAATTACTTACTTGGAGCCTCAGCATTAGATTAGGATTGAAGTTAAGCAGCTGCAGGATGAAGTTGTTTTGCCTTTTTAAAGAAAGGTTGGCCCTGGGCCGGGATTTAGCTCAGTGGTGCTACTGTCTGCCTCGAAAGTGCAAGGTCCCGAGTTCGATCCCCGGTACCAAAAAAAAGAAAGAAAGAGAGAAAGAGAGAGAAAGAGAGAAAGGTTGGCCCTACCTAGCAGTTTGTAGGAAACTGAGTACCTGTGAGCCCAGGGCTTTATTAGTATGGACATCTGGCAGGACTGGGCTGGGCTTTGACTGTGGTCACAGATGCTTTTCCTGAGCTTGAGGGCTCTGCATGTAGGCTCTCTTCTCTGCAGCTTTTCCCTTGTCCTGGAATGTCCTGGAGACTGTGTAGGAGGGTCAGAAAGGGTCACACGGGATGAGGGGGTTTTGCAGATGCGCAAGTAGGCAAGCTTGAAATGAAGCTTGGGTTGGTCACTCCTCGGGATGCAGGGTTCTGGGGCACATGCTAATTGCCCATGGGTCTTCTGCCATGTCTGCCTGGCTGCATCTCACCTTTCCTGTTCTTTCTCAGGGTTCAGGAGCAGTTCCAGAGAAACCCTGACAGTTACAACGGTGCTGTCCGTGAGAACTACACCTGGTCGCAGGACTACACCGACCTGGAAGTCAGGGTGCCGGTGCCCAAGCATGTGGTGAAGGGGAAGCAGGTAAAAGCTCTGGTGGGGTGGACTTGGGGAGGCAGTTTCACTCAGTCAGTCTGAGCTGTCTCAGGAGGGACACAGCATTACTAGAGGAGGATTAGGATTGGCCTCAGGATGTAAGGCCCAGTCCTGCTCCTGCCCCAGTTGGGGTCACTTGGACTTGCACATCCCCCGCCGCTGGGCTCATGAGCGTCTTTCAGCTGGTCTGCAAGCATCTCCTCGTGAGCAGCATTAGGCTCAAGAGAGAGGCTTACATATTTGCTGTCCTTGTCTCACGCTAAACAAAGTCATAGACGCTTTCAGGGCCCTGGTGTAGATGGCCAGCCTCTTAGTTTTCAAGGGAAGACTCCAACATTGCCTTGGTGGAGTCCACATTTCCCTAAAGATAGTCTGTCTGTAGCCTCCCAGGAGGAGCCAGGTCAGGGAGGCTTTCACACGGCCATTGTCCCTTGAATTTCTTGGCGTTGCCAGCCAGGGCCCAGCAAACTTACCTTAGACAAGGTGACAGGTGGGTGGTGGCACCTCCAGGTATATGACAAACTCTGTGCTGTGGAGATAAAGGATTTGTGACCTACTCAGAGGGCAGGAGGGGAGAGCGTGGGTGCCACAGACACTGTGGTCCCCAGAGCCCACCTGCCCAGCATCCCCATCTGCTCGCCTTGCTGTCTGTTTTCTTCCTCCTGCTCTGATTTTGTTGGTTTCACACAGGTGACGCATATGCTGAGGGCACACTTCCCCGTCCGGGAGCCTCCCTTCTGCATTTGGCTCAGGGTCCTTCGAGAGGATCCCCTCCCTGCCACAGTCATGCCTGGTGTCGCTCAGTGCTCCTCATCACAGCGTGGGTTGGGGGGGCTGGTCCTGCTTCCTCGGCACCACTTTCTTCGCTTAGTGACGAACACAGAACTGGTGCTTCCTCTTCATCCATGAGTACCCAGGAGCCCTGACTTAAACCAGGCCGGGTCATGGGTGAGACTGCAATGTTGCCAGACCCTGAGGCCAAAGCAGAAGCCCAGGGTCACTAGACCAAGTGCTGTCCAGCCTGTGCCCTGTGGCTCTTCCACGGGGCAGGAGCTGTCTTCTGAAACTTCATCTAGTAGCTGCAGTGAGTAGGTTTACTCTTCCAGGAGGAGAGCTGTTTGCTCAGGGACCCTTGGTGGCCATGGCATTGTCATCAGTTGTTGCAAATAGGTAGGCTCCACTCAGAGCCTCAGGCAGCAGGGCCAGAATGAGACGTGTTTCATCTCAGTCTTCACCAGAACCTGTGACCTACAAAATAATTTATTTCATACATGAGGAGCGGAGGCTGAGAGAAGGGGTTACATTATCCAGTGTCAGCCTGGATAGGGCACCGGACACATGTATGAGGGAACAGAGTGCTAGAGTGTGGTGGCCAGGTGTGCACCTCTGAGCTCAGCTTGTCTCTTGTGGCCACACTTGAGACTTCCCACATTTCAGACAGCATTTCAGACAGCGAGGCACCCACCCCCACATGGTGACAATCAGGCAGCAGATGGGGTCCGCTCCTGCCTGGGCCAGGTAGATGCCAAGTCCAGGCTGGCTTTGCGGAGCACCTGGCCCTCCTGCCCTGTATGTAGGGTCTGTAGCAGACACAGAGTCAGATGAATGCAGCTCCTTCCAGGAGACAGAAGCAGGACTGCTCATGTGCTGGTAGTGGAACGAAGATGAGACCCTCAGCCTTTAAGGTACTACAGCCACCAATCAGTGAGTTGTGAGTGGCCTGGCTTTGGCAGGAAGCAGCCATGTACAGAATTCTTCCTTCCGCCCACCCCTGTTATAGGGTATCTCATACCAGCTCCCAGTGACCCCTGGCATCAGAGCTCAGTGTACCTCTGGGACCCGAGTCAGGTCAGAGTGTGGGATCATCTGACAGAGTCCCAGCTTTGAATGGCTGCTCCCTGTCTGTTTTGGATAGATCGGAGAGTGGGTACTGGCTGCCCTTCTGTAGTTGTTTACTCAGCTTCTTCTTAGGATGTTAGTGGGTCAGGTGTTGATTTCCATGTCATTGTCTGGTAGGATTGTCAAATCAGTTATGAATTCTGAAAAGTGTTGATTACTAGGCTCATTCACTTGGCCAAAAAAATTTAGTTTCCTGGACCTTTATCTGATTTCTAATATGCTCTGTGCATGGCTGAGGGTTTCTCCCAAAGGGCTTGTTGTGGGCCCAGCCTAAAACTAGTTATTTTCTTTGTCTGTGCCTCCGCAGACCCAGGGTGGCTAACCACCTTTGCCATTCCTTCCTCAGCTAACAGGACAGCCGCACTGGACAGAGTTAGGTCTCTGATGTGCTGCCCACTAACTGGAGTTGAAACCATAGCTCTGCTCTGTGGGCACTGTGGTGGGAGAAGCCCCGCCCCAGGCACCTCCCAGAGTGACAAGTTGTCCTGTGTCAGCCTCTCAGACATCCTCATTAGGACTGCAGGATGATGCGGCCCCACGTTCACCCGGTCACCCTGGGTCTGATTCACTCTGTGGTGGGGTTTCCTGAGCACACGGCCCATGTGGAGGCCAGCAAGTCAGATGTCCAAAATCTATAAGGGCTTATCAAAATGTGTGTTTAAACTTTAAAAGTTTATCACAGTAGGGCAGGGGATTTAGCTCAGTGGTTTCGCCACCTGCTGCGCAAGCGCAAGGACCCGAGTTCAATCCCTGGTAACAAAAAAAAAAAAAAAAAGTTTATCACAGTGAAAGATGCATTGCTATTAATCCCCCTCAAAAAACTCCCCCTCACTTCAAGCATACTTATCCCATCATTTTGCCAATTTCTTAAGCAGTTCTGGAGTCTTCTTTACTGACTATTTTTACAAGGTGGGATCAAAATGTGGTGAATTAGGTAGGCTCCTAAAACATGACAGCACCCTCATTCACTGTATTCACTGAGTCTGGCACTGTGTGGCTTCTGCTCGTCCTCAAAGTCAAAATGACCATGAAAGGGAAATGTTTTGAATTGATTCAGGACATCAAGGCAGCTATAACAGTATGACTAAAGAGGACTTCCAGAACTGCTTCAGAAAGTGGCAAGAATGGTGGGATAAGTATTGTCAAACCAAGGGGGACTTATGCCTGCCTGGGAAGCATGAAGCCCTGAGTTGATTCCTGGTACCAAAAAAACAAAAAGCAAAATAAAACAAGGGGAAATAGTTTGAGGAGGATTAATAGCAATGTGCCTTTTACTGTAATAAATTTTTTAAAATTTAAACATTTACTGTATTTTTAGAACATACCTTGTATATCCTTTTATTGAACAGGCAGTAAGAGTTGGCAAATAATGAACAAGGCAATTGCAGGTAGGGGCAGCAGTGAAGAACATAACAAGGTGGTTTGTGTGTATGTCCAGTGCTGAGGGGTGTCCATGTCAGTGACCCTCCCCTCTTGTCCTCTGGCCCACTACAGGGCCTGCGCGCTCGGGCCTGGCAGTCAGCACGTTCAGGTCACAACAACAAGAGCCGGGCCAGGTGCCAGCATCCATTGCACTAAGAGGGCTCGGATCACTTCACTGAGACACCACAGGGAGGGGGAGGAGGAAGCGGCTTCCTGTGGCTGCTGTTGGCTTATTTCGTGTGGGCATTTTTGTGGTACCCCCTGACATAACTTACCCTGGTGACCTGCCCGTGAAAACCTTCATCTCCTCTGTGGCCGGGAGTTTTCTTTTTCTTCTTCAGTAGCGTTTTTCCCCATATCATAAACTTCTTGGAAGCTTGGCTCCGCCCCCGGCCCCAGGACCCCACCGTGGGCAGAGGTCAGGAGCCGGGCAGGCCCAGCCCCCCCAACACCCACTCCTCACTCCACGAGGATAACCAGGCTGAATCTTCCGCTTCTGGAGGACCCCTGAGGGGAGGAAGTAAAAGCCAGAAGGAAAAAAGAAATCTACTTTACTGAGTCACACCCAGTTGTAAACATGTCACCAAGAGGGCCCCCCCCCCCCCCCGCTCCACAGTCCACACCAAAACACTGGGTACACAGGAGGGTCACCAGGGGCAGTGCCAAGCAGGGGAGTGGGCAGGTGAACACAGCAGGCAATTTCTGGGAGGCGCTGGGGAGGGTGGTGAGGGGAGCAGAAGGGCTGAGCTCCTGGGGCACAGGCACGGGCTCTGGAGACCAGGTGGCCAGTGGAGCCTCCTCCAGAAGCCCGGCGCCCTGCCCGGGCCGTAAAAAAAAATATCATAAACTTCTTTTAGAAAAGTCTTAGTCTCTCATTTAGTGATCTCAGAGTTTTAGTCATTCCCTTATTCAAACTTGGGAACAAGTTTACTATGTGTCTCTTGGATTCCACTGCTCCGAGGCTTTTCAACAGAGTTGCTCTTTCTTTCTGGACTGGCTCCTTTCCTGTTGTTCCCCAAGTGTACCTGTCACGGCCGCCTTGTCAGCAGTGTTTATTTTGGGGTTTTGTCTCTGGCACCTATCAGATAGAATCATGATGTCAGCCACAACTGACTGCAGCGCTCGAGGATGGAGTTGGCCCTGATGGTGCTGGTGGGCCAGAGCCTCGGTGGAGGATGGAGTGTCACCGCAGATTGCGCTTTCCAGCTGGGGCCAGATGCCAGGAGGTCCACGTCGGAGCCTGGCCTCTCTCGAGCGCCTCGCCAGTCCCTTTTTTGTAGATGGGGTATGGTGAGGGCACAGCAGCCCCTCGGAGTCGGCAGGGACAAACGGGAGCGTGCACACAGTTCATCGTGCTGTTCAGAGGAACAGCAGAAACGGTCTTATTTTACATACAGCGTTTAAAAAAATCACTTTGCTGGCGAATCTGAAGAGCCAGTGTGAAATTTTTAATCTCCGGCCTCAGAACATGGTTCTGTCTTTGTTTAACCCCTCTGCTGTTGAGGAAAAGCAGCTCACTGCCCTTCCTTTCCTCATTGTACCCTTGGAGGAGGACAGGAGCACTGAGTTCATGCAGTAGATGTCTGTGTGATTGCTCAGATCTTATAGTTTCAATGTTTTTGAAAATTAAACCACAGAGATTTTTGTTCAACTTCTCATTTGAAGAT